TAACGTGACGGGCTATTCAGCTGCGTTGTAGTTCCTGAGGAAGGACTGCTACCTTTTATTGAGTCATTATGCATGTTGCCATTCGCTGAATCTATTTTTCTACATTAACCGATAGATCATGAAGGTTGAAAAGGACAGACCTAGTTGGGTAATCATAACCACTATTTTCTGAATATAAATATAAAGCTATGGTACGTGTCCGTGTCGGGGGATAAAGGATGGATTAGGTGTAAAAGACAAAATTACGGAATGGCTGTCACTGGAAAGACCAGAGAAAAACAGGAGAACACTAATAATATATCTAGATTTTCAAGCCTTTATATATGCATTTAGCCCATTCTAAAAGCTAGATCCCTGGTAAAGATATGATAAGTATGTAATTGATACCCTTGCATAACCAATATCATATATTATTAATCCCTAAAGCCGAAGCTTTAAAGTCCTAAAGGCAAATTTTCTAGCCGCAGTCAGGGTATCCATTCTGATTAGAAACTTTCATTACAGTATCCTAGCTGCTTACACCAAACGCATATTGCCGAAGAAGCTCCCTTGCTTTCATAATTAGATAATAACAACGTTCCAAAGGAGAACGACCAGGGCTAGTAATAATCAATCCTCTATAGATAGCAATATCTATCGTTTAATTTAGTACTCGTCTCGGTATCTCCTGTAAGCATGGCCAAAGCTAACTCCTGTATAGATGGTGGTAAACTATAGATGGAACCTGGTATAGACTATATATATACTTTATTATATAATCAATAAGAGTTTACAGCATGCTATACACCATAGTATGCAATATTTGCTTCCTTTTATCAAATGACCAGACTTTTACAAACATATATATTAAACTTGCTAAATCTCTGGAATTGATAACAGACAACATGTCTTACAAGAAATCTATGAATAAATAATGAGCCCAGGTAAGGTTATTTATGATGGTAAATATATCAAGATGCTCTCTACCCAGCACCTGCTCCTTCAGCTCCAGTGTCTATCGATACATCTGCTCTACCTCTTCGTATTTTCCTTAGCTATAAAAAACAAGAGCAAGGTTATTCATACTGGCAAGTATATCGGGATGCTCTCTTCCCAGCATCTGCTCCTTCAGCTCCAATATTTGTCGGTACATCTTTTCTACCTCATTATACTTGCCAAGCACGGAGTAACTTTCCGCCACATTGAAAAGAAAACCGGTCTTTTTATCAGCACACTCATTTCAAAATTGTAATACCGCCTATCCATGTGGTGGATATCTCATCTAGATAGCTCAGTTCTTGTGCTTAGGAAATGGATATTTATTGGTAAGATGTTGAAATACCTCTGTTATCCATTTTTGTTGTTCTCCATTTATCTGCAGTCAATCTCACATAACCAACCAAACAAATTAATGGATATCAAACAAGTCTAGTTCTTTACATTTTATTATAAATGTATATCCCTTTAGCATATCAATAATTTTATCTATTTCTCGTTTGCTTTTTCCTGGAGGTAGTAACAAGATTGATATATTTTTCTCAGCTAAAAAGCAGATAAACCTGAGATATTATATAGCAAATAAATTGGACTATAAGATATGCTTAAAGTTAACCAAACTATAACTACTGGGTTTTTAAAAGCCTCATAACGGCTATAATCTCAGAAGTCTTTGCTTAACAACTCAACCATATCCTTATCACTCAATTGACAATAATATAAGTATTTAATCATTAATATTCCATTTTCGAACATGTAAGCGGATGCCTACCTAATAGCCAGAGGAAGATCCGTTAACAAATCTAACAACTCTATCGTGCTTTTCTTATCATGCCATTGGCTTTTTTATTTCATATATTTCTTCAATATTTCAAATAATTCTTCTTAGCTCATTTCTCCAATATTTATCAAACCCTCAAATGATATATCAAGGTTTGAAACTATGGAATAATTCCTAGTCGTGAAAAGGATAGAGCCGTTCCAATTAAATAGGAGATAATCTGAAAGTGTTGCATCGGCAAATAACTTGAGATCATCGGCATTATCGATAACCAAGAGCCAGCTGCCGGCGCTCTTGTGACTGAGGGCAGCCTTGACGAACATCTTGGCATCTGCCTTATCATCTTCAATTCCTTTTACCCCAAGCTAATAGCCGATGTCACGATAAGCATTTTCAAAACTGGTGGCATCGACAGCCGGAACCCAGAAGACGGAGTAATCAGGATGTTTGTCACGGACTTGGTAGGCGGTCTCGAGGGCGATCTGGGTCTTGCCGATGCCTCCGAGACCTTCGAGCCGAGACCTTCGAGGGCCGTCTGCTGGCAGTCATCTTTTTTGGTGCTTGGGGGGATTCGTTCGAGGAGCTGCTGTAGGATAGATTCGCGTCCAACTAAGTTCTCGTTACGTCCGAATGGGACCATAAAGTGAGCAGACGCACATGGCTGCAGCGTGTCTATGTTAACCTCATAATCCGCTTACCTCTTCGGGCTCAATATATCTTCGAGCACGGTATACGTCTGGAGGTAATTGGAATAACCGCCAATCCCCCACAAATAAGGCTAGACAAGGCGATAACAGGACCCCGACCTGATTGCCCTATTTGCCTCAAAGAAATAGAGATTGGCGCAACGGTCATCGATTTGCCATGTAAACACTGATTTCACAAAAAATGCATCATCAAATGGGTCAAAACTTCACGTACTTGTCCCATATGCCGAAAGGGTCTGCCCAGTTTCCACAATGGAATCTTTGATTGGTGTTGTCATTGGTTCTGAATTGCTTTAACGAGCAAGCTGGATCAGCGACTCAAGTGACTCGTAGGGTCGCTGGCAACACCATGTTACAAACCAACAAAAGATCCCAAGTCGGCTAAAGCTCAGTACCCACACGATCACCGGAATCGCAAGGTTTGCCAGCGACCAGCGCGATCATATTAACATATAAAGGAAAGGAGGGCATATTGGTATGCTATAT